TCTGAAACATAGTGGACCATATCAAAATGTTTTCTCCCTTCAAGTACTGAGCAAACATCTCAAGGGAACGACCTTTTATGTTACTAGTAGCAATGTCTTGGTTTATCCAGGTTACACAAGCTAACCAATATCAATTTAAAATTTTTCAAAAACAAAATTTTCATCAACTCAAAATATCGATTCCAATAACCAAAACTGAATAGCATCAAAACTCCAAACACGCATTTATGTTTTGTTTGGGGGGAAACTTTTAATATCTGTGTATTTGCAGAGTTGGGGACACGGCAGGTTTTGGATTATATCGAGTGGAGGGAAGTTTTTTTGCTGCTGCTCCCATTAGTTCCGAGATTAATTAAGTGGCTCTGTGCTTCCTGGATGCACCAGTTTCCAGAAAACAGTCGATTATGAACCCTCCCATGAGACTGTTTACAAAGTCCCAGTCACTGGTGATCAAAAGTTAAATGTCTAGGGGCATTGGGCAATGGTATTCCTCTCTCAAAGAGCCTTATTGATTAAAAGATGACTGTGGGATGTGCCATAGGTCCTGATTTTATTGATTCTTGAGTTGAAAGGTTATACCCTTGACCAGAGAGGTTATAGCTCTAGTTGTACAGTGGAGCAAGCTGCTTCCATCTGGATGCTCCAAGAAGAGGCATTTTCCTCTCCAAGTTTGGCATGGCACACCACCTGGTGCGGCTAAGAAAAAAGGAAACCTAGCCCCTGTTGAAAGAACAGAATTTGTGTTTCTATGTCTGGCACCCTGTGAGTATGAGTATCCCAAACGAGGGGACCACAGACACAGTGAACTAAGTACAGCACCGCTGCTATGTGGATATGCACATGAAGGACTGCATGAACAGATCTGTATTAACAAGTCAGAATCAAATGGGAGAAAGCAGTTGAATCATCGCTGATTTGTGCCCTATTATCTATAAATAAAGAAGCATAAACTGAAAAAAAACACGAAGAAGACTAAGAAGGAGGGTCTACAGAACCAAATGGGGCAGCACAACGGACTCCCAAGTTAAGGAAAACCATAAATAAACATGCAGGAAACTGGATATATGAGCATGAAGGAGAAATGTGAGAAAGCCCTGATCAGAACAGCTGGCATTCATTGTCTGAACACCAACCCCAATGGCAAGTACATCACCTGTGTCCATCCAGGTCATCCTTGCAAGCCTCCATGGCAGAAATGAAGGCATTAAGGCAGAGAAGTTCTATCATGTGCCAAGATCACATAGAGAACAGGTGGCAGACTTGGGATGGGAGTACCCCACCATTTAGAGAAAACACAACTGTACAACAGAGAGTGACTGTGTTAGTCTTGGTAGACTAGAGAAACAAAATCATTGACACTCATATGTGTGTAAGAAAGAGCTTTATATAATATAAAAGAGCAATTGTATATTGAGAAAAAAACCCCAACCCAGTCCATATCAAGTCCGTAAATCCAATATTAGACAATATGTCCGATACCAGTCTATATATTCCTCTTCAGACTCATGCAACACATGCAATGATGCAGAATGCAGGAAGATCACAGGCCAGTGGGTGGAAAGTCTTGTGGACCCAGTGGCAGTGGAAGCATCTCAATACTGGTGTGGGTGTCCACGTAGCTACTCCAGCTCCAGGGCTCTGGCTCCATCAACATAGTTCCATGTGGCTTGTCTGCAGGGTTGAGAAGCAGAGAGTGTGTCCCACCTCCAGGAAGGAAGACAGGAGTTCCCAGAATCCTCAGGAGAAGGCCATGCCTACACAGGGGCCTTATTGACTATGACCTGATTGACAGGCTAGACTCCACCCCTTTGCAAGTTGACAGGAGATTATGTAACTACCACAGTGATCCAAAGGCAGATCCATCGGCTCCTCCTGTCCTTCTGCCCACATTGAGTCCTTAATATGAATGAGGGATTAGATAAGATTAGAGAGGAGCAATAAGGAGCTGAAAGGTAAAACATTTATAAATGTGTGTTATGGACGCCCCAGAGTTGGGGAGAACATCATGAAACATCATCTGTCTCTCTGAAAGGGGACTGGACTGAGATCATAATGGGCAACTTCCAGGACATGTGCAGGTGTGCAGGATGCGATCCTGGATAGTAGGTGCTCCTGTAGAGGTGAGGAGGATTAGAGATGCCAGAAGAGAGAGAAGAAAGCTGGATTGCATTAAAGCTAAGCAGGCTCCTTGTGTTGTATTGATTATGCAAATACATCCAACTGTGTAGATCCTAGCACATTATGGTCCATAAGGTGACCAGATTTTAACATTGGTATAGCGGGACACCATTGATAAAACTCATATCCATGGCAGCCGAAAACCATATACCCTAGCTTGTTGTGAATTCTTTCCAAAAATCCGGACTTTTTAAAAATGCCGCGGGATGCAGGAAAAATTGTTAGAAATAGGGACTGTCCCGCCAAAAGCGGGACATCTGGTCACCTTAATTATACATAAAGTTGTCAAGAATGGGAATCCCAGCACACTTCGTGGCACTTGTACCGAACCTGTGCACACACCAAGAAGCAGTCGTTCAGACAGAACGAAGGAGCACAGCAGGGCTGAAAATCAGGAAAGGGTTGCATCAGCGTTGTATCCTTTCCTCTTACTCACGCAGTTTGTATGCTCACCAAATAATCAGAGACACTGGAGGCTTTGAAGAAGAGCGCGGCACCAAGAGTGAGGAAGGCTCATTAGCAACCTGCGGTATGCAGATGACATAACTTGCTCACTGACAGTGAAAAATACTTGAAGCACCTACTGATAAAGATCAGAGACTAGTCTTTGGTATGGATTCCGCCACAACATGAAAAAACAAACAAACCCTCATCCATAAGCAACACCATAATAAAAGGAGGGAAAACTGAAATTGTCAAAGATGTCGTGTTGCTTGGGTCCATAGTCAGCATCTATGAAAGCAACAGTCAAAAAAATCTAATAAAGCATTGCATTGGGGGAAATCTGCTGCACAAGACTTTCAAGTGTTAAAACAAACAAACAACAATGGCACCTTGAATACTCGGGTCTGCCTGACATAAGCCAGGGTCGTTTCGATCACCTCACATGCGTGGGAAAGCGGGATAATTAATAAGGAAAACTGAAGAAAAACTAATGCATTTGAATGGTGGTTTGGGGAAAACATGTGGAATATCATCGATTTCCAGAAGAGCAAGCAAAAAATCTGTCTTGGCAGAAGTACACCCAGAATGATCCTTAGAAGCAAGAATGGTGAGACATCATCGTTCATACTTTAAACAAGGTAAGAGAGGGGCCAGTCGCGGGGGGAAAGGCGACATGCTTGGTAAAGTAGAGGGTCAGGGAGAAAGAAATGGTTTGACACTGTGGTTGCAGCACTGGCTTTAAACTTCGCCACCATCGTTTGGATGGCCCAGGACTCAGCAACATTTTGTTCTGCTGTGTGCAGGGTCCCAGTGAATTAGGATTGATTGCGTGATGCCTCACGACAATCACAATGTTAGAAGACAGCCCTGGAAGTGCAATTGTGGGTCCTAGATGTGAGCCATCATATGCGACAGACTACTAAATATTTCATTTGCAAAAATGTCATTGATTTTAAAATACCGAGCGTCACAATGTGCCTCTGGGAGCTTTGGACACAGGACAGGGGTGGCATGATTTGAGTTAGTATTTTAGTGGTCACTGTGGTTGATGGTGCCCTGGTGGCACACGGGACTGCTGCGTTGATTTGCTAACTGCTAACTGCAAGGTCGGTAGTTCAAGCCCACCAGCTGCTCTGTTGGAGAAAGATGAGGCTCAGAAACTCACTGAAGCTGTTCTAATTCATTCTATAGGGTCGCTAGGACTTGGAACGGATTTGATGGCAAAGAGTTTTACAGAGAGTGATTGGTTGCTTAGTGTGAAATGGGAAGAAGTGGGAGGCTGGAAATGAAGTGAAAAATGGAGGCAGTAAACCAGCAAAATCCCTCACTCTCTCTCCCCTTGAGATAAAGTGTCCAACATGATCATCACAATGCTCTGCTTGCCAAGCACTGCACTTGGCAAAAGAAAGAGGTTGAATGAAACTTTTGGCAATGGCATTGCAGCCTGCAGTCAGACATGGTGGCTGCAGTAGGGACCAGACTTTGTCCATATTAAGACATCACCAATGATACAAGAAAGAATGCATTTGATTTGTGGTGCTGATGAAGGATGCTAAAAGGACAAACAGACCTATCTTGGAAGAAGTACAACCAGAGTGCACCTCAGAGGTAATGATGGAGCGACTTCATCTGACATACTCTGGGCATGTTGTCAGGAGAGACCAGTCCCTTGGGAAGAACATTATGCTTGGTAAAGTAGAGGGATGGTCAAAAAGAGGAAGGCTCTCAATGAGATGGATTGACAGAACGGCTACAACAAAGGGCTTACGCATAGGAGCCATTGTGAGGATGGTGCAGGACCAGGCAGTGTTGAGGTCTGTAATGCACTGGGTCGCTATGAGTGGACACTGACTTGGTGGTCCCTAACAATAACAACAAATGATAAGCATGATGCTTCAGCAGTATTGGAAGGCATGCAAATTGAACAAACACTAGTCCAAGTTATCACCCACTTTGACTACTGACAGAATCCTTAGAACTCATAAACAAATATTTCTTTCCTTCTTTCCATCCAACCGATCCAGGTGGACATGCAAAACTGGGATTGGAAAACTGAGACTCTCTTGTTTGCATCCCCAATACTGTGCTTCACCTTCTGCAGAGAGAGTAGCTCAAGGGAGGTTGGGTTTGTTATAAGTCTCCATCCGAGTCAAGAGGTGAAGCCATCACACTTCCACTTCTAAAGATGAGTCCTTGTGTGTCTCCAAGTTATCCTCTACAGCCAGGACATTCCTCCATGTTCACTGTCAGAACTGTGCAGGTACCCCATCTGGCATAGACTCGGGGTGAGAGATAGTCCTAGCCAAGGATGCTCATATACCTTCTCTGCTGGGTGCTTCCAGAGGTGTAGACCACCAGCCAACTAGAGAAGTGGCACCATGCTAACTCTCAGCCCCGTCGTCACCGTATCCTATGAGGCCAAGGGTGTGTTTCTGCTGCTCTCCGTCCTGGAGTTTACAGTGGGGGTCCTGGTCAATGCCTTCATCGTCGTGGTGAATGTCTGGGACATGGTAAAGAAGCAGCCACTGAGCAGCTTTCACCTGGTGTTGTTGAGTCTCGGCATCATTCGGCTGTTCCTGCATGGACTGCTGTTTCTGGAGGCCATCCAGCTCACCCACTTCCAACATATCAAGGACCCCCTGAGCATCAGCTACCAGATCATCCTTGTGCTCTGGATGGTTACCCACCAAGCCAGCCTCTGGCTGGCCACCTGCCTCAGCATCTTCTACTGCTCCAAAATTGTTCCTTTCTCCCACACGGCCCTGCTCCTCATAACTCGCTCTTTCTCCAGGAAGATGCCCCAGGTGCTCCTTGGAGTGACCTTTCTCTCCTGCATCTGCACGGTGCTCTGTTTGATGGATTTCTTCAACAGATCTCAACCCATTTTCACAGCTTGGCTGCTCATGAATAACACAGAAAAGGGAAACCCAGAGATTCACTTATTTTACTCCTTCCTCTTCTGCAACCTGGGGTCCTTTCCCCCTTTCCTCTGTTTTCTGGCTTCTTCGGGGATGCTGATCATCTCCCTGGGGAAGCACATGAGGACCATGCGGGCCAATGCCAGTGGCTCTCGGGACCCCAGCCTGGACGCCCACATCCGAGCCCTCAAGTCACTTGTCTCCTTCCTCGGCTTCTACGTGGTGGCGTTCTGTGCTGCCCTCCTGTCGATGCCCTCTCTGATGCTGTGGCAGAACAAAATAGGGGTCATGGCTTGTGTGGCGGTCATGGCAGCGTGTCCCTCTGGTCATTCGGTCATCCTGATCTCAGGTAGCGGCAAGCTTAGGAGGACAGCAAAGGCCATTCTGCTCTGGGCACAGAGCAGCCTGAAGGTGAGGTGCCGCTACAAGCCAGACGCCCAGATGTCGAGCTGAACTTGGGCACAAAAAGGGGCCTCTTTGTGGGGAGGCCTCCAGTCCTCCACGGAACCCTCAGATCCTGTTCTAATGTCTCATCCTTTTGCTCTACAACAATGGATTCGCCTATAGAAGAACAAATATTTCTCTCCTTTCCATGCAACCGATCCAGCTCTCTGCATGGCCTGGGCAAGTTGTTCTGGTTAGATGTCATCCAGTCACTTCCAATTCAGAGCAACCCACCCAACATAAACCGAAACACTGCCCAGTCCTGAACCGGCCTCGACCACGGCTCTATTGTTACAGCTATAGTGTCTACCCTTCTCATTGAGGGTCTTCCTCTTTTCAGTGACCCTCTGCTTTCCCAAGCATGATGCCCTTCTCGAGGGACTGGTCTCTCCTGGCAATGTGCTCAGAATACAGCAGATGCAGACTCCCCATCCTCACTTGGAAGGGACAATCTCAGGCAAGGGCTTTGAAAGACTTGAATTGGGGGCTAACATTTTGGTTTTAGTGTTCTTTTCGTTGTCCCATTCGTTGTTGTTGTTCCTCCTCATCTTCTTCCTTGCCTTCTCTTTGGATTAAAAAGCTCTTTGGGGAATCTTAGGTATCATCTTTCATGAACTGTTTAGTGCCTGCTTGAGGGATGACAATATCAACCCTTACCACAGTCTCTTTAGAGTGAATATTGTACTACTTCATATTGTCAAATGCAGTGACCCCTGACCTCCATTACTTATGCCAACCCTCACATATATTTTACATCTACATCAATTATAAATCCCACAATAAAATGTTAGAAACTTTAATCCATCTGTTATCTTTTATAGACATTAAATAGTAATAGCCAGGAACCCTTTTTAATGAAATTAAAGGAAGCAAAAGGCTAGTTGTTTACACCTGGCTGCATATTTACCATCCTGGTCCTCTCCAGCACTTCCTACAGAGCAAAGCTTCCATCTTGTGACATTTCCCTTCATCCAGGTAGAAAATTGCTCGTTAACATCTTGTGTACTGCAAATCTGTTGCATACATTCCCTCTCACATTTTGTGTACATGGAGATACCTTTATTGGATCATCATCTCTGAAAGATATTTTTGCTAGGTATGGAAGTCAGTTCACGTTTGTTTTTTCTTTCAGCACTCCATTGTGTCCGTGACTACCCCCACACACACTGCACACCCCCTCCTTTTTTTTTTGGTGTAAAGTTAGTCATCACCTGTCTCATTGTTTCCTCTACAAGGTGTCAGGTTTCCAGGAGTATTTTCAAGATTTTTTTTCTTTGATTTTCAGAATTTGACTCTGATGTGTCTCGGTGTAAGTATCTTTGTAAATGCCCTATTTAAAGTTTGTCTCCAGGGTTCCCAAAGATGTCACTATGTCATTCCTCTACCTCCCCAATCTCAATAGTATATTTCACACTGACAACTCAGTGACATCAGCTCTTCGAAAAATATAGGAGCTGTCTGAAGTATTACTCTTTTCCTTATTCTGTTTCTCTGCCTGTGTATTTCCAAGGAGGGACGCTGCCTTTAACCTTCATCCAAGGGAAGGTCTCATCTGACCATGAATGCTGACCAACTAGGTACTGAAGTCTGATTTCCACACCAACCCCATTCATCTTCAAGCCATATCTTAAACATACCATTGAACGCCAGGCTGATGGGGACAGCAGGTGTCCCGTATTCTAACACGTGACTCGTCACCTAAGTCAGAGGCTAATCCACATGCTGAACACAAACTCTCAGACCTCTAGGCTAATGTTGATCCGTATTTCAATAACTCAGTTATCACTGAACATTTCAGGGAGCCCAGCCTGCAGAGAATTCTCCATCCATCACGTTTTCAGCAGGAACACATATTCAGTGCTGTTGTAGTTGTGGTTGTTGTTTATACCTGTGTGCCTGTTGCTCCCTGCCTGAGTCACTCCTCTCCTTCAGTCCAAACCAGCTCACACCAAGACAGCTCTGTGGTACCGTAAGTTACCATCCCAAGCCTGTTTTTGTTCTCCAGTTGAATCTCTTTAAGGTTTTCTTAATAAAACAATCTACTAGGGGTTTTTCCCATGAGCTGTGTGTGTTAAATATTTAGTAAGAGATACTTTAGGGAGAGAAGCAAGCAGAGCAGCAGGGAGGTTTGCAGTTAAGTAGAATTGTGAAATGTGAGTTAGCTCTAAGGTGCAAAGAATAATGAGGCATGATATGTGTGTAGTAGAATCTTACAGCATAGTCGGGGAAGAGACACAAACAGGGATGCAACATTAAGAACTGTTAAGAGGCTTCCCAAATATAATGGCATATGCAAAAAAAATTCAGGTTAGCCAGGCTAAAGTGAGATGGAAGGGCACAAGTTTGGAAGAGAAAATGGACATGGCATATCCCGTTAAGGTAAGTCAAGTTCAGTTTATGAAGCCAAACTCAATCGAGGGTGTTTCATTTTTTAGAGTCTCTGAGTGGTGCAAAAGGTCAACATGCTTGGCTCCTGGACAAAATCTTGGGTGTTCAAATTCACCCCCAGATGCATCTGAAATAAGGTCTAGCAACCCACTGTTGAAAATTAGCCACTGAAAATCGTATGGAGTATATGATTCTATTCTGAGGCATGTGGGTGGCCATGAATTGAAATTGGTTCCATGGCAACTGGTTTTGATTTGGTTACAAGAGAAACTTAGATAGGACAGTGGTGTGCTCACAACAGTGGTTGTATAACAGTTTCTTTAAGAACACTGTGTTGATTTGATTTGCAGGGTAGAGGACAGAGAACCATTTACACTCCAAATACAACTGAAGATTTCAATCAGTATGCAGGCAGTGGAAATGAAGAAGGTAGACCGCGTCTGAGAGATTTTGAAAAACGCCCTCAGTGTCTGAATGTGACGGTTGGTAGAAAAGGGAGCATTGAGGAAGATTTCCGTATGTGAGTTGCAAGCTTATGCAATCAGCAACATAAATAAAGAAGTTAAAAGAGGAAGTCAGTTTGAGTGTGGAGGAAATGATCAACAGGATTTGGGGTTTATTATTATTATTGGGGTGATATCATGTCATCTAGTCTGAAAAAATCAAAGGGCTTTTGGAAATGAAGAAATGACATTTAAAGTGGAACTAGAAATGACTTTGGAGTCATCAAATAGAAATAAACTGAAAAGGGTAACTGAGTTGGGTTACAGAGGGAAAGTGAAAGTTTTAGCAAGAATAGAGATGTTTTAGGAGGAGGAAGAGTGCCAGGTTCATGAGAATGATGGCAGTGGACTTGGTAACAATGGCATTTGTGTTGCAACCAGGATGTGTCCTACAATTCCTTCCTTGACCATATTAAAGAATATATTCTTGGCTCTTCGCATCCATCTTGGAATTTCATCTTTAAAAACAACAACCAAAAAAAAATCCTAAGGCATGAAATCTAGAAACTTCCCACAGCTCGGATTTCCTGTCACTGGCAGAAATGAGAAGAAATAAGACCTCTATGTAGAGAAACTTGTCTTGTTTCGTTCCTGAAATTGCAGAGATCCAACTCTATCATTGCTTTGCTTTGCTTGTATGGCACAACTCTTCATCATATTCCAAGAGCCCATAGATTTCAGCTTTGTCTAAATCCATTTGAAATAAGTTACTGGTGCTTGCAACCAAAAGAGTTATGATGTCATGCAAAGTCCATGAACAGACATCTAGAGGAGAACAAGCATCCAAGTTTGTTGTGACCCAGGAATACGCTTCATCCTTAGAAGGCCCTCGCTCTGACCTCCTGGGGAATTTAAACAGTGGACGACTAGCTTCAGGGGTCCAGGCACACAGGATCTAGGGAACTGGGTGATTGCTAGAACCTCTTTCACAGTGTATTTTATTCTACTTGATCCGTTTTGATTTCAAGGTGTATTTATCTCAACAACTGATTAAATTTAAGTAAAAGTATATGTATGTAATTAATGGTGCTACTTACATTTTGAGAAAATGTCCTTTAAAAAGGGGTGGTGGAAGAATAGGCATGTTATAGCTGTCAAACCTAAGTTCACCTGTGCCAAGAAAGCCCTGCCTACTTGGTAAGTATCTTGGGGAAATGCCCCCAGATCCTGCCGACCCACTAGGAGCTGTCTTTCCACTCCTTCAGCAGATAGACTTGAGTGCCCAGAGCTCAGGCCAAACATAGAGGTGGGGGAAACTGAGGAAGGAAGACCATTGATGACAAAGTGTATTTATGGCGATTTGAATTATCTTTCTTAAAAAAAAAATTCCATGTCCTAATTCCCAGAATCTGATTTCTGTGAGCTAACTGGGAAGAAGAGTCTTTGTCGATATAATTGAGGATCTTAAAATGAGGATATTGTCCGGGATTTAAAAGGGCCCCTGGTAGTGTAGTGGTTATGCAATGGACTGCTAAGTGGTCAGCAGTTCAAAACCACCAGCCACTCTGCGGGAGAAAGGCGCCTTTCTACTCCTGTAAAGAGTCACAGTCTCAGAAACACACAGGGGCAGTTCTACCCTGTCTTATAGGATCACTATGAATCAGACTTGACTCACGGCTACGAGTTGAATGGATTAGAGCTAGACTGATGGGCCATGTAATGGTCCATGGTCTGTGTCAAGTTGGCTGGGTTATGGATCTCGGGCAGTATTTGGCAGACACTGGACCTGCTCCTCTTCAATAATGTAATCTAATCTAATCATTTTTCCATGATATGATCATCCAATCGATCAAAAGGAAAGTTTCCTTGGGGTTATGGCCTGTTCCAGCCATGGTATTTTTCAATTGCCTCATATGCACGTGAGGAGGCCTGGTGGTACAGTGGTTAAACATTCCGCTGTGACCTGCAAGGTCAGCGGTTTGAAACCACCAGCCACTCTGCGGGAGAAAGACATCTTTCTACCCCTGTAAAGAGTTATACTCTCAGAAACCCACAGGGGCAGTTCTACCCTGTCCTATAGAGTCACTATGTTAGGTTTTCTGACCAACATGGCTCCCATAGGAACATGTGGGTGGAGTTTAGGCTGTCAATCAGGTCATAGCTTGATTGAAAGGCCAC